ACATCGGACATGTTCGTTCCTACCCGCCAGTTTCCACTCCCTGTACCTGCACAAGTCCGAGGGCGCGACTTTGTTTCTCCTTTCCTGGTGATTGCCGTGTTCGTTCCGGTAGCCTCCGCCTCGATCTGGGGTCCACTCCGGGCAGGCGTCCGAGGTCTTGTCCGGCAGAGCGTCGAGCTGTCTCGGGCGTCCGAGTGGGGCGAGCTGGTCTCCTGCGCTCTCTTTTGTTCCATTCTAACTGGGGTCTGTGGCACTGGTTCGGGTTTTACCACTGCGCACATATTGGGGCTGTTTAAGTAGATATCGGGGCTGCACACGTCATGGGGTTCCACACATTGGATTTAGATAACGGGGTTACTTGGGTCATAGGGTGATCTGTCGGGTTAGATGTCGCTGTCACTCTTGGGGGGTCACGTTCAGGTTTCCCACACTGTCACTCTTGGTGGGTTTCACTCTCCACCCTTGGGAGCACACTGACACTGTACTCTGTTTGGGAGGCGTTATGTTCTCTGCACCTTACACCCTGACCTGTGCCCTCTACAAAGAGGCCCCGCAGCTGTCACCAGGCTGCTCTGTTTTGCCCATGGTGCTTTGCGATGATCACTCGGGGCGATGTCGGTAAAGAGTGGGACTCCCACGCGCACACACACACGCACGCACGCACGCGCGCGCGCACAGTCGACACAGCACAGAGTGGAGGGCGCTGTTGAGAGATGCATCCACCCATCGACTGAGGTGCTGGGGAGGAACCTGGGCCTGCCGTGTTTCCACCCAGCGCCAAGCAGACGCTGTCCAGCCGCAGAAAGCCAAGCTCCTGGCTGCCACACAAGTCCCTAGAAGTGAAGTCAACCCAGGAGGGAAGCTGGGCCCCAGCGCATCTAATTGCTACCCTGGGAAGCACAGGAAGCCTCTGGACTGTCTTGGGGGTCAGGGACCTGTTCCCAGAGCTGATCCTAAGGGCAAATTAGAGATAACGAGGTGTTTGTGAAGGTAAAAAGCAAACACAGTCTCCCGGCTGCCAATTACCAGAGTCACCCAGCACCACCTAAGGAGCTTGGCAGGGGACAGAGGACTTCAGGAGATTTCTGGGCAGCTCTGCGGCAGCAGCAATGAGACCAGGGAGGGTCCACTGGAAACACAGCACGGTCGAAGGTGGTGCTGGCCTTGTCAAGGATGCCTGGAGCAGGTTGTGGGCAGAAAGCAAAACTGCAGGAGGAGGACACTTAAGGAACGTGTAGAAGGAGAGGCAGTAGTTGGAGACAAAGATTTTTTTTTCCAGTACCAGGGATTGAACTCGGAACCTTGCACTTTTGAGGCAGGCAGTGACTAAGTCCCCCGGCTCTGGAAATGAAGGTTTGGAGAGATGTATGGTGGCGCCTGCCTCTAATCTCAGCCCTGAGGAGGCTGAGGCAGGAGCCTCAGCTCCAGGCCAGCCTGGGCTACATAGAGACTCTGTCTCAAAAAAACAAGTAGTGTCAGGGAATGAGGAGGACAGAAGGAAGAAGTGGAGATGGGCAGTAGGGAAAAGAGACATTCACGACAGGCAGCCTCCGTGTACGCACACAGGCAAGATCAAAATCCAGTGACTGTCCAGACATTCATTACACGTTCAGACTGTCGGAGACACAAGACCACGAACCCCTCAGGTCCTCTGCCTCACTTAGATTGCATCCATCCACTGTTCTTGCCACTTTTTTTTTTTTTTGGAGACAGGGTCTGACTATGTAGTTCGTGCTGGCCTCCAACTCACTGTGCAGCTCAGGCTGGCTTCCAACTCGAGGTGATCCTCCTGCTTCAGCCTCCCAAGTTGAGTGCTGGGTCTACAGGTGTGCGCCACCACTTTCAGCTCTTGCCATTTTCTGAAGCAGCTCTGGAAGTTCTCTACTGAGCCCTGACGAAGTGTGATTCAAAATATAAAAAACAACAACAGTGAACACTGTTGCTGGGTGCCAGCCCTCAGAAAGGCAGAATTGTAAAAACACGATGCCACGTCCTCCTCATCCACCTCAGTCACCAGACCTGATGCCATGCTACTTCTGGCTCTTCCCCAAAGTCAAAATGACCGTGAAAGTGAAACATTCTGAATCAGTTCAGGACATCAAGGCAGCCAGGAAAGCGCAAGTAAAGGCACTCATGAAAGAGGACTCCAGAACTGCTGCAGAAGTGAAAGAAAGATGGGGTAAGGGTGTTCTAAGTGAGGGGAGGATTTTTTTTTTTTTTTTGGTTATT